CAAAGTTTGGTTACTGCGTGTGTAAAACATTTTATGGTGATGAATATATTTGCTGTAGTTAGCTTTAATTGTCATCTTGATACAGCCTAAAATCAACTAAGAAGGGAGTTTCAATTGAAGGATTGCCCAAATCAGGCTGGCCTATGGACTTGTTTGTATGGGATTGTCTTGATTATAAATTGGTGGAGGAGAGCCCAGTCCACTGTGGGTGTCACCATTCCTAGGCAGATATACTGGACTGTATACGAAAACTAAGTATGGTTAGTTGAGTGAATCAGGGAGTGAACCAGCAAGCAGCATTCCTCAGGGTTTCTGCTTCAAGATCTTACTTAAGTTGATATGACTTCCTTTGATAATAGAAACATAAATAAAACATTTCTTCACCTAAGTTGCTTTCAGTAAGAGTGTTTTATTACAGCCACAAAATGAAAACTACCACTGTATTTTTCCATGTTCCTGTTGGTTTTTTACCTTTTATGGGTGGTCAAAAGAAATATGATAATTCATCATACTAAATTATGTTTTAGGATGATAGCCCCACCAAAAAATCCCACCCATGATTTAAAATTGTACCAGTAGTATAGTGTTCTTGACTTTAAGTTTATAGTATAAGTCTTTTGGTTACCCATGAAAAGTCCTGGAATAATTCTTTAGACTGTGTAGATACATGTACATACAATCATTATCCATGTTCTATTCAGAAATACAGATATTCCCATTAAAGGAGTGCAAAACAAAGCCTGTATAAGATAGACCTGGGCCTGGAGAGATGGTTCAATGGTAAGAGCACTGGATGCTCTTCCAGAAGATCCAAGTTTGATTCCCAGCACCCACATGCTGGCTCACAACAGTCTGTAACACCAACTCCAGGGGTCCCAGTACCCTGTTCTGGTCTCTGCTGGCAACAGACACACATGCAGTCAAAATACTCAAACACATAAAAACATTTTTTAATAGACCACCTATATGCTTCTTAGCTTGAATGACAAAACATATCTGTGCTCTCTGATCTAATGTTCACAAGGCCCTGAAAGTTACTATATAACAAATGAGAAGAATAATGAGTAACATGTGCAGAAATCGCAGCCAGAATAGTATCTGAGAAGCACACTGCATTCAGCTCGCTCCTGGGTTACACAAGGGACCACCCTCTGTTTGTGGTGTACAGGAAGAAAAGCAGACCTTCATAGCACATGCTACATCAGTAATCCTTTTCAATAGAGTCACTCACTGCTTCCAGGAAAAGAAAAGGCAGCTGTGGAAGACAGTAGGGAATCATTTCAGGCCTGCTGAAAATCCACAGGTGGATCAAACGATACATACATATAGACATATAGACATCTGGGAGAAGAAAACAGCATGGTTATGATGCTTCCGGATTGCAGAGTTGGTCACTCTTGGTACATAGAAAGCTGAAGACTTAGACACGCCCAGCCTTGGACATAAGCACTAGGAAGAATTAACTAGCTGCATGGTGTGCTTGCTCTGGGCCATTATAGAAACTGTACAACTCCAAAAGCCTGTGCAGAAATCTAGAAAGCAAACTCTGGTGGGGAATGTGGTAACCTTTGGAGAGCTGGAAGCGCATCAGTAGAAGGACCATGCTCAGGAGAATGTGAACATAGAAAGAAATCTACCTTGTGTGCTTTCCCTCGTCTAAAATGAACTCTCCTGTCCTTGTCAAGGAGGCACCTTCCATCATCTGGAATTGCTAAGTACAGGCAAACTATCAAGAGGCTACCTGCTATATCCGTTTGTCTTAGTTTCCTTTCCTGATTCTTTGATAAAATGGTCTAACAAAAGCAACTTAAAGGAGAAAGTGTTTATTTCACTCACAGTTCCTGGTTGCGGTGCATCCTGTCAAGGAATTAGCGCCGCCAAAGCCTGAGAATCACATTATGTTTGCTTAGTTGTACACCCCGTACCTATGCAGCAAGAAACAGCTTCGTGCTTCAGAACTTGGGGTTCTCAGATTTGGAATATGTGTTTATACATAATAAGGTACTTTGGAGATGAGCCCAAGTTCTGAAGCACGAGGAATCCAAGTATTTTGGAGGAGGGACACTCATATGGGTGCTGTTTTCAAGGCTTCTACTTGGTGCCTTCCAAGTTGTGCTTATTCTGTAACGTATTTATTTACTGAGGTTGCATATATCAAAGCAATTGCCATTAATTAGATACTTGCCAGATATCTGAGATAATCTGAAGAAAGTTGTTGCTAAGAAAACCAGATATGATGGTCTAAAAAGAATTGTGAGTTGCTTGACAATTTTACTTTCGAATGTAGAGAACGGCGTGTAATATAATCATCAACTAGGATTAAAATTATATCCTTCATGTGGGAAAACAAAACACATGTGCCTCCTGGGAGAGATTTTTGTAGCAATAGAAAATCCAGGATGTCAACCAGTAGGTTTCCAGGCAAAAGAAGGTTCTAGACTCTAACTCACAAGTCTGTACGTTCATATTGTGAACTAGATGAATGTGTGTTTCACATTTTGTAAATCCAACATCATTTTACTCACCAGCTGCGCTTCCAAAGTCTGCAGAAATGGTGGCTCTCACTGTTCCTTGAATCTTCTTCTAAGCCTGAAGTATCCTCGCTAGCTGTAGTTATCATGTACACCCTTTGGAGGGTTCCTCTGACTATAACATCATTTCTTTTTTTTTTTTCTTTTTTTTCTTTTTTTCTTGAACATTTTCTTGCTTAGGGTCTTCCTGCTCTTTTCTCTTAATACCTGAGTTAGTCGTCCCCATCGAGGTGGGTGAAGAGACTAGCTTTTTAGCTCACTATGTGGGTTCAATTTATAAAAAGGCTCCACAATGTCCTAGCTCCATGGTGTGATTTTATAATGTGTGTAGACTGGGAGCCGTTAAAGGGAATTTGATAAATGTTTTCAAATGTTTCCCTTCATTCATGCCCATTTCCATTTGCTTCCTAAATCTAGTGAGCATTCATCTCTGACATTTACTAAATGTCAGCCGTAGTCCGTGTTTAAAACCTTGGCCTAGGGCCAGTGGGCTTACCAATTGATATTAGCCTGTTAAGAAAAATTAAATAAAACGTGAAAATGGAATGAAAATTGCTTTGAAGAGAAATGGAGGCAGACGCCGAAATGAGCCATTAGTAGCCTGATACTCACTCTCCAGTTGAGTTCAGAGCTGTGTCATTTTGTACTGTTGCCAGGCTCCAAAAGGAAACTAGACACAAATTAAAAATAATGCTTTGAGATAGCAGCTGTTTACCTGTCCCTCTTCTGGATCAGCCACTAAGAGTGCAGAGGAGGCAACTGGACCAGTGACTGGGGCTGGAGCTGCGATTCTTTGACATCAGGCAGGAGTCAGAGCTACCATAGCTCACTCCTTTCCTCGGGGCAGTAGAGGCTCCTGGAGGCACTTGTTTGTACAGGGTTCCCTCTGCTGGGAATTACCAACATAATCAAGTGTATATGTGAAGACATATCCATTCCTTAAGTGGCCTTTGTTTTTAAAAAGGATAACAAGTAATTTGCAAGATGTTTTAGCAAGTATTTGTTACATGTTTGTGATATTTAATAAAGAATTTACCTTTGAGTGAGGCAGACTGGCACCTGCCACTATTGGGAAAAAATGGAAGCCAAATGATTAGGAGTTCTATGCCAGAGCCTCAGCTACAAAGCTAGTTCAAGTCTGTCTTGGGCTGACACTGCCTCAGATGTCTCAAGATGATGGTGGTGATGATGATGATAATGATGATGACAGCAATGATGATATAGCTCTAAGGCATTTTTATGCACTAGCATTTTATACCTTGGTTGCTTCTTATCTGTGTGTGTGTGTGTGTGTGTGTGTGTGTGTGACTTTGCTATGTAGCCCATGCTGGCCTAGAACTTATGACCCTCCTTCCTGCATCAGCCTCTAAGTGCTGGGATTACCAGTGTGCACCACCACACCCTGCTCTAATTGCTATCTTAATAGTTGTCTGGACTGACTCACTGTTTAGTCTTCCTGTCTTCCTATTTCCAACACTGTATGGACAATAGATTAAGTTAATTGTGCTGCCGAAGCACTCTGCCTTAGAACATTTCTATCATTATCTTGGCATTTATTTCTAAAATGACTTTTTAAGATGCATGGAAAAAGCTTCATATTTAAAACCAAATGTGATGTTAGTATAAACGTTGATGCCTTCTGTTCCTGGTCCATGTTTGCAGAAAAGGCTATTTGATTTCTTCGTGCATGTTCGTCTGCGCCTCTGGAAGAAAATGGAGCCTATGAACTGTGCTCTAGCATCTGATATTTACTTTTCTTGAGTTTCCCAATGGTGTCTGAGAACAGGTTGAAAGGCTAGCCAACTCCCCACTATTAATTTCAGTAGTTTTAGATGTTTTATATTACATATGACCAGCTCTCGGAAGCTTAAAGCTTTTTCTTCCAAGACACTGAATAGAACCTAGTTATTATTTGGACTCTTTACTGTTTTCTGGTTGTTTTGTTTGTTTGTTTTAGGTGCATTTTACTTTTTAATTATGTGTATACAGGGGAGAATGTGCATGTAAGAGGCAGGTACCCACAGAGGCCAGAAGAGGGTGTCAAATCTCCTGGAGCTGGAGTCACAGGCAGTTGTAAGCCACCTGATAAAGGTGCTGGGAACTGCATCCTGATCCTTTGCAAGTACAACACATCCTCTTAGCCACTGAGCTCTCTCTTAGCCCCTCAACAGCTGTTTATGCCTTCCCTTTGGATTAAACGTCTGATACTTAAAAAAGAGTATGTCTCCATATTTGTCTACAAATTTGCTTCTGGAACTTTTGTTGTCTTTTTGTTTTGAATTTCCCTTGAAGCAATAGACAGCTTAGCAGAGAACCAACTATCTGCATCCCTTCCATCATGGTTCATCAGAGAACCATCCATCTAGATGTTTTGCTTCATTTATTGATCAAAAAATTATAGCATTTCAAATTTTCCTTTTTCAGGAAACAGGGGTGACCGATCATTGGTTCTTGTGTTTGTTTTTCAAGGGTTTCTCCTCTTCAGAAATCTGAGGTGGTTGAGATGGTTAAGAAACAAGTCAAAGTCATCACACTTGCCATTGGAGATGGAGCAAATGATGTCAGTATGATACAGATGGCCCATGTGGGTGTTGGAATAAGTGGCAATGAAGGTTTGCAGGCAGCCAACTCTTCAGATTACTCCATAGCTCAGGTAAAACCTCGTGGCTTTGAAACACAGCAGCACTGTTTTCCATCAGCTGCCAGTGACGAGGAAAATACTAATGTCTTTCCATCCCTCTCCTAGTTCAAGTATTTGAAGAATTTGCTGATGGTTCATGGTGCCTGGAATTACAACCGCGTGTCCAAGTGCATCCTGTACTGCTTCTACAAGAACATCGTGCTCTACATCATCGAGGTAGCCTCACGTTTAACTTGGTCCTGCCCCATCACTCATAATTCCAACTGTTCTCTTTATGGAAAGCTTTCTCATTGTTTTCACGAGTGCTTCATCTTCTCACTTACTTTTTAAGAAAAAAAAATAATTTTAAGATCTATTATTGTTTTATGTGAATGGGTGTTTTGCCTGCATGTCTGTCTGTCTGCCCATAGAGTGGATCTCCTGGAGCTGGAGTTACAGATGGTTGTTAGCATCATGGGAATTCACACCCTGGTCCTCTGGAAGAACTGTCAGTGTTCTTACCTGCTGAGCCATTTCTTCACTTTTTATAATTTCTAAATGTGTTCAAGCAAATAAGATGTCAGAGAATAGTCATCAATTTCTAAACACTAGCTAAAAGTGTTAGGCCACTTTGGTAGAAAGTTGAGGTAGAATTGCTAATGAGTTGTGTTTTTAGTTTTTAACACTGTGAAGACTGTAAAGCTTGAACATGTGCAGAATTTCTTTAGCCCACTGTTGAGGGTTAGCACACATGGAAACTGTATTTAAAAACTAACGATCCTGGTGATTGGGGGGGGGGGCGCTTTGTTCCTACTTCTTAACTGTAATTTTTGCTACTGTGATGAATTGTAATGTAAGCATTTGATATGCAGACTATCTGTTACATGACCCCTGTGAAAGGGTCAGACAACCCCAAAGAGGGTCATGACCTGCAGGTTGAGAACCACTGTCTTTGATCTTCTTTATTAGCCACAGCTACCCCTTGTTATCCACCTGTTTTGGTTTCTGGGTTTGGCAAATAACAAGACTTTTAGATAAGGAATTTCCCTAAAATTTTCTGTTTCTAGGTTCTTTCCATATATCAAACATGCATCATCTTACAAATGAAGCCTTAGACTGGGGACCTCACTTGCTAAAGCAGTAACTTGTCAACACGAGGACCTGAGTTCAAATTCCAGAGCCCATGTAAAAAGGACAGGCATGGTGCAGCATGTGTCTAACCTGGAGAGGCAGATCCCTAAACTAACCTTCCAACCTAGCCTGCTCAGCCAGTGAGCTCCAGGACAATGTTTCCAAAAAACAGTGGGGAGCTGCTGAGGAAGGACACTTGAGGTTGACCTTTGGCCTCCATACACACGCACACACATGAGCACCTGAACACATGTAAAAACACATGAACACACAGAATTAAAACCTGATTTTGCCCTGAAGATATTTTGGCATCAGAATAGGCATGAAATACCAGACAAAGCAAGCCAAGCGCAGGCCGTAACCCCAGGAGCTGGCCAATAGGATATGATGGAAGTCACATCTGTAATTTTCAATTTTCTAGGTGTACATTAGCGAATCCCACAACAAAAACCCTGATCTTGCCAGTAGGGTACAATGGAAGGCATGTCTGTAATTTTAAGTTTTCTAAGTACTACAATAGCAAATGCCATAACAAAAACCCAAGTTGATTTCAGTACCGTATTTTAAGTCAATATATTAAAAATATTATCATTCTCACCAATGTAAAAATTAATTTTTTGCACTTGTGTGTTCTTTCTACTTTCTTTCCTCCAAGTCTGCTCTGTATTTTGCCTTCAGTGCCTCTTAATTTGGACTAAGTGCATATCGAGTGCTCTAATGTGCTTGTGGCCGCAGAGCAGAGTGAGCCGCAGAGTGTTGGCGGATAAGTGAGCAAGAAAGGGCTATTTGTTTGTTTATTTTTTAATTTTTTACATGTACTATTTTGTGGGTATAGATGTAGACATGTACAAACTTCAGAAGGCAGAAGATCAGAGGAACTTTTCTTGTAGATCAGGCTGGCCTCGGACTCACAGATATCCACCTGCCCCTGCCTTGCAAGTGCTGGGATTAAAGGCCTGCACCATCATCATCAGAAGGCAGAAGATCAGAGGAACTTTTCTTGTAGATCAGGCTGGCCTCAGACTCACAGAGATCCACCTGCCCCTGCCTCGCAAGTGCTGGGATTAAAGGCCTGCACCATCATCGACCCACCTGGCTCAGGAGTCTATTTTATCCAGGTCCACCACGTGGGTTCTGGGGATGGAACTTGGGTCTTCAGTCTTGGCAGCAAGCACCTTTACCTCCTGAGCCAATCTCAAAGGTTCTTTTGTCAGGTCCTTGCATAGCTCCAAGGACTTGGACCTGACGTGGGGGTGACAAGGTAATGAAGAAAAACATGTGGGAAGCTGAGGCTGAATGGTCTTGGTTCTCTGCCAGAGAAACTACATCACCCAGAAGCTCAGTGTTCTTATTTAAAGAGTTGAGCGTAGTTGCCAGGCAGTGGTGGCACACACCTTTAATCTCAGCCCTTGGGAGGCAGAGACAGGTGGATCTATGTGAGTTTAAGGTCAGCCTGGTCTATAGAGCAAGTTCCAGTACAGACTCCAAAACTACAAAGAAAAACCCTGTCTCAAGGGGGGAAAAAAGAGAGTTGAGCATAGAGGCAGGGTTATTGCATATACAGACTCCAAAACTACAAAGAAAAACCCTGTCTCAAGGGGGGAAAAAAAGAGAGTTGAGCATAGAGGCAGGGTTATTGCATACACAAGAAGAAGAAGAAGAAGAAGAAGAAGAAGAAGAAGAAGAAGAAGAAGAAGAAGAAGAAGAAGAAGAAGAAGAAGAAGAAGAAGAAGAAGGCAGGAATATTACATATAGATAAACAAGGAAGTGGGGCTTATGGTATACAGCTGGGGCTTATGGTATACAGCTAGGTAAGGGCACAGGTCCAGCTACTCTCTGTAGGCCATCCCTGTAAGGGAACAATCTTCAAGCTGCACATATCTGGGGACAATAGTGGACATTTTCTGTCTGCACTGTCAGCACTCATATTTGGTGGCCCAAGGAAGGCTTTGCCGTTTCCCTCTGAGCCTCACCCCTTAATAGGTCATCAGAAACCATATCCTAATAATGGGCCTCTAGATTGTCTGAGTTTCACATTCCTCTGAACAGCTCTGAGGACTATGGATAACTTATTAAGAAAACTATCCTCCACTCTTCCTAGGACCTGCCCACATCCCTACATATTTGCTGAGGGCTCCCTTCAGATGGTTTTATGTGCCCCCTTTCCCTTTATTTCATGGACATTTCTAAGCATCTGTCGGAAGGACTTGGCCTACCACTTCTTTATGGAAATAAGCTCCATATTTTACACTAGAGATATTTTACTCCACATCTGTTGTGTTCCTTGGAAAGTACCAGATAGTTGGCTCAGTTACCTCTGAATTCTTGTTACGGCCACCAGGCATTGGTGGCGCACACCTTTAATCCCAGCACTCGGGAGGCAGAGGCAGGCGGATCTCTGTGAGTTCAAGGCCAGCCTGGTCTCCAGAGCCAGTGCCAGGATAGGCTCTCAAGATACAGAGAAACCCTGTCTCGAAAAACAAAAAAAAAAAAACAAAACAAAACAAAAAAACAGAATTCTTGTTATGAGTTAAATTGGGATATTGATACTTAATTTGAGGTATACAGACAATGTCATCTATTAAACATCTGTAGTTAGGTTTCCATGTTCTTAGCTAACGTAGATAAATATTTGGAAATATAAGCATCGTTGATTACTGCTAGATTTGGTCTGGAAAACCTGTGTTTTAATGAAAGCTTTCAAATTAATTTATAAGTTTTGTTGTTAGGTTTTTTTGGTTTGTTTTCTCATTTTTGAAGTCAGGAGTTTGGTCCACACCAGTTTTTGTAGTACTTGGGAGACTAAAGCATGAGGATAGCCTCAGCTACCTAGTTAGACTGTCTCAAAAAATGAACAATGAAAACAACAAAAAAAAAGTTTGTTTTCTATATAAATTTCTGGTTCTTCCCTAAAAGAGTTTTTTTATTCCCATTCCCTCTATAACTAACTTTCCTAATTATATGTTCTCAGTTTAATCATTGGGAGTGTTATACACTTTATTTACATAGACTTTTTAAAAAAATCTTTTAAACCAACAATTTAAGGTCTGTCAGCATATAGCTATGTATGAAGTATAATTTTTAATGAAATAAACTCATATTTTAGGTATAAACTAGTTGACAATCAATTGTTCTTTGTTTTATGTTTTTTTAAATCTAGATCAACAACAGTGAAGTGTGAAAACATAGGTACTAATGAGGAAATTAAAAATTCGTTTAACTTAAGTCTTATACCCTGTTTCAAACCCAGAATTGTATGATTTGTGGTTAGCCAGCCCTGAATGGACTTGGCTCTGAATGCAAAGCCTCTTCATGAGCTATTTAACACCGATGACATTCTTAACGGGTTAAAAACAAAGCAAGATAGAAACTTTACTGGAAACTTCATTTTTATTTTTCTGGTAGCACTTTTTGGAAATGTATTTTGAATATAATTCCACTGCCTTGGGCATGGATTGAACTTTTAAATCAATCTCTTCCCCCCCCACCCATACCCAACTTCTGCCAGCTAAAACAAGTTCTGCAGATGTTAATGGCTCATGTCAATACTCAGAATGAATAGGCAGAAAACACATCATTGAATGTCTCCAGCAAGGACAACTGCCAGTCTCGGATCTCTCCTTTCTGTTTTGTGCTGGTCGGGCGTGGGAGCAGAGACCGCACTGACTCTCTGCAAGCTGCTGCTTAATATGCAGAAGTGCTCCATCAGGAAAATGTCTGTGGGGCTTTAGCTGACACGCCTCTGCAGGGGGAAGGGGGAGAACTGGAAAACAATTCATAAAGAACGGTCTTAAACCCAAAGGGTGTACTAGATTATCAGCAAAAAGTGGTTTCTTGTTGTTGTCCTGCCAGGGCTATCACAAGCTACCTCCTCCATTGCTGTAAATTGCAACCACACACACAGAGACTCAGAAGCTGATAGAAAACTTGCGGGGGGTTGATGCCTGGCAGTGGCTATAGGTGTTCACTTAAATTATTGGCTCCTTCTAAAAAGGTTTTTTGTTTGTTTGTTTGTTTGTTTGTTTGTTTGTTTGCCTTCTGAATCCTCTGATGTCTTCCTAACAAACAGGAGCTTTTCTTTAAGACAATTGATGGCATCTAGGTTTTCTTAGACCTCAAAACAATGTAGCCGTTCCCCTTTGCAGAAAGTCGAAAAATCAAAAAAAAACAAAAAAAAAAAGAAGAAGAAGAAAGAAAGTCATTGAAATCAATAAGGAGGTGCTTTCCCAGTGAACTATGCTAGGAAGTAAATTCCCTGGGAATTTAAATCATCTGGGTATCCCCCCCCCTCTCGAAGGCCTAATGCTTGCTTTTGACATCCAAGGCTTTGGTTGGGTAAAAGGAAGGACTCTATGTGCTATGGTAATTCAGGTTCTGTCTTATTTAGGGATGTGTTTCTAAGGTGGGGCTTGAGCTGCAAATCACTGACTGTGGTAGACTACTTCCCTGTCAAGGACTTTCTCATTTTCCTTAAAAGAAATGTAGAGATCAAACTTAACGAATAGCAAACTATTTATGTAAAGATGTACTGCTATATCGAAAGACTCTGCCCTTATCTAGGCATTCCAGTCCATTCTCTTTTAAGAAGAAAAGCAACATGAAGATGGACCTTTTGGAATACAAAGGATAAATTTCTAAGCACATGTCACATACCATTCATCTAGAAAGGACAGTGACAAAAATGTGTTAATTCCCATGTAAATGTTTTCAATTATAACATGGTCTGTTTATATATTTTTAAATACACTTTGAATGCAGAGTTGCTGGTTTATTTGTGAATTCTTTTGTGTTTCAAACTTTATGTCTGTTCATTGACTTGAAGGAGGGTCTTAAAATCTAATTTCATGGTGCTTAAATTAACAATAGAATGCTACATGCAAATAAAGCTAAAGGGAGCCACTCACCTCTATAATTATTGACCATACACAATTTAGTAACATAAATTTACACAGTATCAATGCCTTAACAATGCATTTAGAATTAAGTATTCTCTGTGAGCCAGATCATGTCCATTAGACTTATTTAGAGACATTCACTCTTAATTCTTGCTCAATCATTCCCTTCCACTATAAAAACGAAGAAGGCCAGTACAGAAACAGTTCATTGTGGCGCAGGGGGGTGTCCTGGGTTCATACTGATGAATGTCAAATTTGTAGCAGTTCATGCTTCCACAATGAGGTTAAACGAAACATGAAGTGTAGCGAGGTTCTTGTGACTCTATGTGCTCTCTGGAGCCGCAAATCAAGAAGTTCTTTACTGCTGTCTGCTATTACTGTGCTGTGTGTATGTGTAATCTTCTTGCTGGGCCAGACTTCTTTCTTTTCCAAGTCTGCTTGATTTTTAATTATATTTAGGTTGGCTTTTTCAAATGTATTCTTTTTTCAAGGTATTGCCAGTAATCACTTTAATTTTGTATTTGTTTCAAATATGCTGAATAAAACTATACTACTCCTAAATTTTGTTTCCCAAGTTAGGGTTTCTCTTTCAAGGAAAATTACAAACATATGAAAACATTAAAGATTTGACTTTCTGCAAGCATTAAAATTGAAGTTCAACTCACAAGCATCTGTCTCTATACCTCCAGGAGATCCTGTGCCTCTGGTCTCATCGGGTACCTGGACTCATGCACATAGCCACATTCAGACTCACACACCTGCACATAATTAAAATTTTTAATTTAAATTTTAAGTTTAAAAGATTTCGATATATAAATTCAAATTTAACATCCCAATGGCAATAATTGTCAAGAACTGTAGAAAAAAGGAAACATATTTAATGCATTAATTTTACTTGAAGTATTTATCCTAAGGGAAAAGGAAGATGCATACACAGTTCCAGTTAGGAATCATTTCTGATAGCAAGAGATGTTGAGCCAGCTGAATCTCCACACTGCAGAAATTCTGAATCCATTAGCAGTGTGCTAAGGAGTTGTGAAAACTCAAATGCTCTTTGTAATGTTAAGAGGAAGAAGTAGGGTGTGACACTATATACAGTTGGTCTTAAGTAAAATAAACCCGTGACATTATTTATATAAACTACACACATGACACATAAGAAAATGATGATTCTATTACTATAGGAAATTACATCCTAAATAAGTAAGTATAACATCTATAATAAAAAATAAACTTTAACTGAATCCTTGTAGGGATTTTGAAAGGGGAATTAAAGCTATGAAAGTTTAATACCATATAAATATATTCACGTGTAGAAACAAGATAATACCTAATTTTCTTTAAATCTGTGATTGCTTGCTCATGTAGATATTTAGATTTGGCAAACAGAACAAATTCTGCCTCATATGGCAGCTATATCATGAAGTGCCCCTTTAAATCAAAAGTAAAGACAAGAAATGCCATTGTCCAGAGACCCATGAGCGATCCCTCGGTGCTGCTTTTCAGGGTTCGATGTGTTGAAATTCTGTGTCCTAATTCTGGGGGTTGGGGCTTGTTTTCTCCCTAGATCTGGTTTGCCTTTGTCAATGGCTTCTCTGGACAGATCCTCTTTGAGAGATGGTGCATCGGGCTCTATAATGTGGTAAGTTGAGAGCTTTTGATAATTCCTGTTTTGTTTACTGCTAAAGATAACTGTAATAGCCATCATCTGGCCCTGTGATGTAACAAGCAGTATGTCACTTCAGATGTTTACAGCGATGCCTCCCTTAACTCTGGGAATATTTGAGAGATCCTGCAGAAAGGAGAACATGCTGAAGTACCCTGAGCTGTACAAAACGTCTCAGAATGCTCTGGACTTCAACACCAAGGTAGGAGCTGGGGTCCTCTCTTGTGTGCAGAGGGGCTTTCTCTGTTGCTGCAAGCTGAGAAAGGAGAACATGCTGAAGTACCCTGAGCTGTACAAAACGTCTCAGAACGCTCTGGACTTCAACACCAAGGTAGGAGCTGGGGTCTTCTCTTGTGTGCAGAGGGGCTTTCTCTGTTGCTGCAAGCTTGAGGCATCTGACCTGCCTCAGCCAAGAAATC